CAAAAACAAAAAACAAATTGTATTGAGAGACCATTAGAGACTAGCTATTTCTAAAACGACAGATACTTTAAATACTATTTGTTAGTGGAATATGAAATCAAGGGGTCATAGAGGAGTCACTCAGCTTCATCTTATCTAAATAAATTTTCATAGTTACAGGTGTCACTAGGTTTATACCTGCCCAAGCACACTCAGTCAAACCAGTGCCACTATCCAAATTTGACTAACTATAACAATAACCTCTAATGTCATTTAAAATTTAAGAAATCAAAGCACCTTTGAAAGTTGACACTCCCTCAGTGAAACACCTGTGTAAGAAGCATAACGCTCTAACATTATCCCCCACCCCAGGGCATAAAAGTTATTGATTCACTTAATAACATTTGGGAATGGTTATGTTTGACTAATTTACTCCTAGATAATTCACTTGGAGACAGAAATAAAGTTTAAATCTTATGAGAAAAAATGCCAATTAGAAGAAAAGTAAGTACAAAGCTGAAATGATTAGAAATTTTTAAGTCTGGAAAAATAACAGAAAATTCATATAAAATGATAGGACTACATATGAATGTCCATGTTTCTTTTTTCTGAACCACAGAAAATATTTCAATGTACTTCCTTCATTGCTGGCTCCAGCTACCAGGAAACTCAGAGCTAATGCTAACATTCAAACGTTAAATCCTAATACTGTAAGCCATCAAAGAGTCCTCTGGGAAGAAGGAAGGATAGAAAATTTTAAAATATTTAAATAAGTAATACAGTCTTTCCTGTGAAAGCCCTTTCAATGAAAATGTATTGAACATCTAGTACATAGCATGTACTCTGCCAGGACTGAGACTTGTAAAACAAGACAATGATGGTCCCTGGTATCATGTGTGACAGCAGGGTTAGGAGAGAAGGGTCTTACAATAGACAGGTGTGTATGGGAGTACCAATGAACAATTAAATACATGCCCACCTTATTCTAAAGTTGACGAGTGGGTCAGTACTGTGGAGAAAACAATCTGGGGATGGACCCACTATGCTTTAGGTGGTCAGGAAAGGCTTCTTTTTTTTTTTTTTATTTTTCCTTTTGCAGTACTGGGGCTTGAACTCAGGGCCTACAACTTGAGCCACTCCATCAGCCCTTTTTTGTGATTTTTTTTTTTCGAGGTAGGGTCTCCCAGACTATTTGCCCAGGCTGGCTTTGAACTGCGATCCTCCTAATCTCTGCCTCCTGAGTAGCTAGGATTATAGGTGTGAGCCACTAGTGCCTGGCAGGAGAGGCCTCTGAACAAAGGTGGTAGTTAAACTTGACTACCACCTAGGAGAGGAGGAAAAAAGAACCTTCTAGGCCATAAGAGAGGAGGAAAAAAGAACCTTCTAGGCCAAATGAAGAGCAAGTATAAATCCTCCAAAAGAAGAAAAGTTTGATTCATTCCATGAATACAAAGGAAGTGAAATAATAGAGACTGGTAAGCAAGAGGAACAAGGTGAGGTTGGAAAGTCAAGTGGGATCAGTCAGGAAGGGACCTGTAGGCTGTGGCATGCTGGGTGAACCAGTGAATGGTTGGGGTAGGGTGGGCAGGGTGGAACCAGAGGGACAGGAGCCTTTTTGCATTTTGAAATGTGCCTGCAGGCAGTGTCCCCAGGGACAGCAGCCAGTAGCTCTGAGATAGCTGCACTGGGTGCAGGGCATTCAGGATGACTTTTGGGGTCCTAGATTAAGCAAATGTGTGGCAGGTGTTTCCATTTATTACACTCCTGAGGAATGTAATTATTTACCTTCAAGGCCTGGCATTTTCAAGTCCACATCATTTTAACTTTGTTTCTTTTTTTTTTTTCCAAGTACTGGGGATTGAACTCAGGACCCTGCACTTGCTAAGAAGGTGCTCTATCACTTGAGCCACTCCACCAGCTCTAATTCTTCATCATTTTAAAGCAATCTGAGGATGCTAAGAACCCAGCCTATATCGAGGTTGCAGGATTAGAGATGAAAAGCAATTTAAACAAGTCACTCGTAGACTCTTTCTAGAAACACAGATACAAAATGTTGTCTCCCATGGGGTGCTGATAGGAACCTTTCTTTTCCTTTTTCTTAAGTATTTAGGAAAACAAACTTCCCTCTGCCAAAGAAGATACTTTTTTAAAAAAGAGAACACACAAATGGAAAGATGTTCAGTGTTATTAGCCATCAGGGAAAGGCAGGTCAAAACCACAGAGAGACCACTGCATACCTACTGGGATGGCTACAATCAAAAAAGACAGAGGACAGCAAGTGTTGGCAAGGCAGTGGAGACCCTGGCCCCTCACACACTGTTGGTCCAAATGTGAAATGGTACAGCCACTTTAGAAAGCAGTCTGGCAGTTCCTCCAAAGACCAGACATAGTCACTCCACGCCCCAGACATTCTACACCTAAGAAGCTACACCAGGGAACTGAAAACATATGCTCAAACAAAAACTTTTACACAAATGTTCATAGTGGCATAATTCAAAGCAGTCAAAAAGTGGTAACCAGGCTGAAAGAAAGGCTCAAGTGGTACAGTGCCTGCCTAACAAGTGTAAGGCCCTGAGTTCAAACCCTAGTACCACAAAAAAGTAAGTGGAAACTGAGATGTTTATATCATACAAACATTAACATTCATATATTATACATGAGTTTATATATCAAACCAAATGTTTGTGTCATATCAACTGATGAACAGACAAAGAAACTCTTCCATAGTGGAATATTATTGGCATAAAAAGGAATGAAATACTGATTCATACCACAACATGACTGAATCTTGGACACACTGGGCTAAGTGAAAGAAGCCATGCACAAATGACCCCCCACTGCACATCTGAAATGTGCAGATTAAGCAAATATATAGAGGTAGAAAGCAGGTTAGTGGTTACCTGGAAATAGGTGAGGGGCAAATAGAAAATGACTGCTGGTGGGGATGGGGTTTCTTTCTGGAGTGTTGAAAATGTTCTAAAATTAGATTATGGTGCACAATAGTTGCAAAATTCTGCACATTTTCACAAATGTATGCTTAAAAGGGCTGCACTATATCCTTTGAATTTTATGATATGTAAAATACGCCTCAAAAAGGATGTGGGAAAAAGACTTGCTAGAGGTCAATGTTACCTTTCAAGTACATTCTATGAGATAAGTAGGATGTTACAGGTTTCCAAGGTCAAAAAGTTAGGCAACATCAAGTTAAACAGGCCTCTTTTCTGCAGAACCTTTCAGAGCCTGTCATTTCCCAAACACAGCTGGCCACGGAACCTTTTCTGAGCGGAGCGGCATAACACTGGACTAGGTTTTGCAGAACCTACTTTGGGAAACAAGATGCTTCATAGTTTTTCCATTCATTCATCAATCACTACCTGACCTCCTGGAATACTTCTGCAAGTCAGTCACTCCCGGGCTTCAGAGATGAGGTGAATACTCTCCCTGACTTTACAGAAGTCTGGGCTTGAAGAAAGAAAAGGCACGTGCTCAAATGAGTTAAACACACTGGGAAAAGCAGAAAGCTGAGGCTATAGTGCAAATCCCCTGGGGCACCATGGGAGAAACTCATTCTGATTGTTGACTTGGGGGCAACATGTCATGGGAGACTCAGCACTTAAGCTAGGCCTTAAACTCTGGGTGGGTTCTAGACACAGGGAGATGGGAGGACGGGGTCTGTGCAGAAGCCCAGGTCCAAGGAGCAAAGGGAATGAAGAGTGGTTGTAGTAGGGAACAAGGAGTATTCACTTGAGCATAATATGAACTGAGCAGAATAAAAGATAAATGGGCTAAGGGATCAGTCGCAGGCAACCTTGAAATGTCAAACTGAATGATGCTCAAAATTTTATCCTATACAAAAATGGGACTTGGGAGGACCAAGGTCCAAAGTCAGCCAGGACAAAAAAATTACCGAGATGTCATCCCAAACAAACAAGCTGGGTGTGACAGTACGTGCCTGTCATTCCAGCTACTCAGGAGGCACAGGTAGTAGGATCATGGTCCAAGGCTAGTCATAGGCAAAAATCTCGAGACCCTATTTGAAAAATAACTAAAGCAAAAAGGGCTAGAGGCATGGCTCAAATAGAGAGTGCTTGCCTAGCAAAAGCAAGATCCTGAGTTCAAACCCAAGTACTATCAAAAGAAAAAATAAAAAGAAATGGGGGCACATGAACGGTTTCTGAGCCGTGTGGAAGTGGTCCTAGTAAACAAGGACCACTGAGCCTCGGGTGTTTCATCTGTAAAATGGGGCTAATTCTGCTGGCCTTATCTCATCCCAGCGGTGAAGATCAGAGAACCTGGCTGGCTGGCAGCACAGCTCCCAGCAGAGCTCATCACTCAGCAGCAGAACAGCTGTTTCCAGTTCCTTCCGAAGACTGAATGTGTGTCTCAGAAACACCCGACATGTGATATTTCATCTCTGTGGTAGGGCCAGATGGGAAATCCGAGATGGAAAAGGAAGGCTTTGAAACAGCATGTTTGAAAGTTCTCCTGTAGCAGTCAAATCAGATCTGTATTTGATTTCATTTTATTTTGTTAGAATGAAATACAGACTACAGGGAAGGAACAGCTGCTGGAAACAAAGACTGGGAAGAAACGTAAACAGCAGATTGCTTGACACTCACATCAAGACAAGGGGTGCGTGGGAGAGAGAGAGAGAGAGAGAGAGAGAGAGAGATGGAGACAGAGAGTAAAGAGTAAGTCTTTGAGCATGTGTTCCACACAGTAAGTGTGTGCACATATCCAAGTATATTATGCATGTGTTTGTGTAAATAAGCCCAGCTTTGTGTGAGTGTGTCTGTTTCTGTAAATGTGTGTGTAAGTTCGGGGTAAGTGTGTCTGTGTGTATGTGGGTGTGGGTTGAGGACAGAAGTACAGGGAAAGGCATCCCAGCTGACTTGCTGACCCGTCTACAAGTCTCCCACCCTGTGGCAGAAGAACAAAGCAAGCCAGAGACAGTGCTCCCTACTGCTGCCAGGGCCACCGACTCCCACAGATGGAAATGTGTGCTAGTCCAGGAGCCTTACCTGGCTGAGCTGTCCCGGGAGCGCCGAAGCCATCTTGCCACCATTTGTTCTATTCTGTGTGATTTCCGAGTCTGGAATAAACTGGCCTCCAGCTCTTCCATCTACCTGAAAGGAAGAAGGGTGTTCTTAATTTATCTTTTTTTTTTTTTTTTTTTACAGTACTAGGGTTTGAACTTGGGGTCTCACGCTTACTAGGCAGGTGCTCTACCACTTGAGCCACTCCACCAGCAAGAAGGGTGTTCTTAAGAAGCCAACCGAAACACTGGGCCAAGTCTCATCAGTGTGGTGCTTCTGTGTTTGGCCATTTGAAGACCTGCTGAGCACACAGCCAGTGCTCTCCTTCTGTCTGGGTGCCACATAACAGTCCATATCTACAGGGTGAACACATCAGCCACCAGCCCTGTGGAGCCCAGTCTTGGAAGTGGCTTTCTATCTTACACATACGGCAAGAGAATAAAGGTGAGGTTTCTCAGACTTAGTGCCCACAGTGAGAAACACACCTGGCCATTCTGCCCAAAATCTGTGAGCATCCCCAGACAACACAGTTCAAGTCTGCCTGCATCAGGAACTATGGATACACGGCAGCAAACCACGGCCTTGCACTTGCTAGCCAGGCTCTCTGTCACTTGAGTCAAACCCCCAGCTCTTTTTGACTTTAGTTATTTTTCAAATAGTGTCTTACACTTTGTGCCTGGGGCCAGCTTCAGACTGAGATTCCCTTACCTATGTCTCCTGTATAGTTGGTATTACAGGCTTGAACCACCACACCTGACTTGTTTGTTGAGAAGGGATTTTACTAACTTTTTGTCTGGACTGGCCTTGAACTGCAATCCTGCTCCCTGGTAGCTGGGCATGGCAGCATTTTTAATCATGTCATTGGGCATATTCTCCTGAATGCTGCTTCTTTTGCTCAATATTTTCTATGTGATTTTTGAATAGGTAATTAAATTAATTCACTTGTATAATTCAACACCAGGTCATTAAAAACTACATCTACAATGAAAGGTTTGCCTTCCATCTTGACTTGCCCCCATCCACCCTCCCATGCTCATACTAGGCTCTGGCTCTCTGTTTGTCCTTCCAGAGTTTCTTTGTGCCTACAGAGGCAAAAACAAATACAGATTTTATATTTCCTCTTAACACAGAGTAGCACACCATACACATTGCTCTGCACCACGCTTTTTTCTCTTTAGAATATTTATCCTTGATATCTTTTCACATCAGTACATAGAACCATTCTTCATTCTTTTTGACAACTACTGAGGACTCTATTGTATGAATGTATTGTAATTTAATATGTACATACGATGGAGGACTCGTTGATAGACATTTGGATTATAGCCAATCTTTTGCTCTTATAAACAATACTACAATGAATTATGCTATACGTATATCATTTCTGCATGTATGCAATTATAAGTCTGGATGGGTTCCCAAATATTCAATTGCTAAGTCAAAATTCACATGCATTTGGGCTTTGATGGATGTCATCAGGTTACCAAGAAAAAAAATAGAGATATGAATATGTGCTTGAGATTAATGTTTCATAAATCAATACAGATTGATATTTTTCTACTTTCTAGTCTCTCTCACTTTTTAAAATACTGGTCTCAACTCACCAAATTAATTTCATAACCCAATAAATAACCACAGAAACTAAGATAGGATGTGGGGATATAAACGTGGATATAGAGCAAATGAAAATGAATTATAAGAGATTACGTTGCTTAAGGCTGCACAGATGCATTTGTTTTAAGGAAACACAGTTTTAAGGAAAATATAAGCCATCTAAGATGGCCCTATGAGAGACAGAAAATCTAAAAAGACAGTTACCATAGAAGAGAAATTAAAGAGTATATCTTTCTCCCATCAAAAGCCAAAGTGAATTCTTATGAATCTATAAGATAAAGTTCACCCTAGTGATTTATTTTTATTTTATTTCAAATAAACTTTTAATTCAGGAATAATTATAGACATATAAAAAGGTTGCAATGATAACAATGAGTTACCATAAGACCTTCATTTAGCTTTCCCTATGTTAACATCTTACACAATCTTTGTGCTTTTTCAAGATTAAGAAGTTAACATTGGCACAACTCTATCAACCAACCTGTAGACTATATTCACATCTCACCAGTTTTTCCACTTAAGTTCCTTTTCTGTTCCAGAATGCAATCCAGGGTACCACATTGCATTTAGCCACCTTCATTAATTTTCCTCCACTGCTATATCAACTATTCTAGAGTGTAAAGAAGGAAAGTTCCCACATGCTTTTAAGGAGCAAGTGTAACACTGATAGCAGTTCTGACAAAAACCATTCAGTAAAGTAAAAATGCAATCTCCCTTATGAATATGAAAGTGAATGCTTAAAAAATATTAGCAAATAGATCCCAGCAGCAACCAACAGAGCAATAGTGGGGTCATCCTTGACAGTGCAAAGAAAGAGAACTAAGTAAGGCATATAAAATGAACACAAGACACCAAATCACTTTGAAAACCTGGAGATTTACGCATTTCAGTCAAATATAAGCCAAATGCAAACGAATGAACAAAAGGCTACCATGAACATAGGCTAAAATCAAAAGTAAATTCCATCAAGGACTGTGTCCCTCTAGCTTTACTGTACAATAGGGACATCAGACCTGAATACTGTCTTCCATTCTAGACATCTCACTTTTTAAAAAAAGTATAAAAATAATAACAGACTTCTGGTTAAACATGGTGATTTGAAACAGTCTTATAGGGTTTAGTTTTTTTCTCAACCCTATAAATCACAGTAAAGGAATAAAAAGGTATAAACCCAGAGGATAACAAATACAGGGGAGAAGACATAGAGAAGAGATGTCAACAATGTCTGGAAGACAGGAAGCGTTTGGAAGAGAAGGAGCTGAGTTTGCAGAACAATGGACAAAGAAACCAACATGCTTTCAGAGGAGGATCATAATGAAAAGTGAGCAGACTCAGCCCGTGGCTCAGGAATTAGAGGCAGCAGGGCTGGAAATATGGAAACAACTGGCTATGAGCAGCAAATGGATCCACAGTCCCCACTGCACTCCACTTGCCTATGTAGACAACTATCCGTTCCCTGTCCTACTGGAGACAAGGGACTTGATTGCTAGAAAAATCAAATAAGAAAGCCTCGGGAAGACCAGGCACAATCGTGGTGCAGGAATAAAAGTAGAAGGACTAAGTCAAACTATCTTTTCTTTTTAGACAAGGTACTGTTACGTAGCCTGGGGCGGGGTGGGGCTTAAACTTTAAATTTCCTGTCTCAGCTTCCTGAGTGTTGGGATTACAGAGAGGTACCACCAAACCTGTCTAAACTCTTTTAACTGAGTCATAGAGCCTCCATGTCCTTCCTTTGCACAACTCCTAGAATATTGGCAGCTAGGACTTTATAGCTCAAGCAAAAAATTAAAGAATTCTTCTCTGGAAAACTGACTAGCAGAAGCGAAAGCACTTCAGCCATGGACACTCGCAGACTGCCCTGGTGGCAAGGCACTTGCTGCCAGCTCACCCCGCCTGGAAACTATTCACCACAGAGCATGACCCATTGTGCATAGCTTTTTGTCATCTGTTTACTGTTTCTGTCCTACCTGCAAATGGATATTTCAGGAAAACCTGCACAAAAAACAGATGAAAACAAATAGAAGAATTCAGGAGTAACAGAGACAGTTCAGGAAACAGAAGAAAAAAGTCTTTCATTTATATCCTCCAAAAGATATTACATCAATAAAATGTCTTTTTCTATGAAAATGTAAATGATCAGAGAATAAGGATGAAGACTTAAAAGTTAAAAATACAATAGTTGAAATAAATAATTTACTTAAAAATTTTAAAAAAGGTAATCCATGATATATTATAGAAAGAGTAATGAAATGCCAAAGACTGAGAAAAAATAAAATACAATAAATGTGTAGTATCAATTCAGGAGGTTCACTACTCATCTAATATAAGTTTCAGAAGTACAGAATAAAGGAAGAGATATGGAAATTGTCAAATATTCAGTAAGATTTCCCTAAAGAACATAAATTTCTAGATTATGACTCGCTATTACACTGGGTGCAGCACCCGCCTGTAATCCCAGCTGTTTGGGAGGTGAGGCAAGTGGATCACAAATTTTGAGGCCAGTCTAGGAAACATAATGAGAGACCTCCATCCCCAAATCTATAATCGTCCTGTATAATGAATGAAAAAAAGATCCCAGCAAGAAACAACACTGTAAAAATTTTAAACTAGCAACAGAAAATATCTTCTAAAGGCTCAGAGGAACAAAATAGATGAAATATAAACATCTGAGACTGAAAATGGTACTGGGCTTAATAACAGGAGAGGAGACCGGAAAGCACTGAAGTCATGCCTTCACATTTCTGAAGGAAAATGACTGTCAATCCAGTAAAAACATTTTCAGATGTTCAAGTCTCAAAAGCTTTACCTCTCATGCACTCTTTCTCAGGATACTAGAGGATGTGCTCCTGAAAAACAAAGAAGTAAATAAAGAAGAAATGAGATACAGGAAATTGAGATGAAACAAAGACAAGAGGCGAAGGGGGAACCCAGGACGACTGTGAAGGTAATGCTCATATAAAAGACCTAGAGAGCAACCCACAGAGACTGGTGTGCGGAGACAGAGGTCTCAGGGAAAAGAAATAAGAATGGCTAATTCCGCGATTAGTTTGTGTAGAAAACTTCACTGAGGAGCTGTTGGAAGGCATAGGAAGCATTAGTAATAAGAGCATGGAGAACTCAGTAAACCAAAAATGGGGAATTATGAAATATAAGAAACAGAAAAGGTAGTACAAGAAAAGAAATAAAATTACAGCTCACTGCTTGGCTCTGCAAGGAACATTATTTACATTTTCATAATAACGTAAACACTGAAAAATGATTTTAAAAAACAGTAATATAATGATATTGATATGGTGACAGGAAACTAGTATAGTGACATAGTAGTTAAATCTCCATCTGTCAGAATAATTAGTGTTCAAAATTAATAATTAGGCAATAGTTGTAGAAATGTTTCTCAGAAACAGGGAGAAAAATACCAGAGGAAACCACTAGAAGAGTGGGAAGAGATTGCTTCTAAGACATTAAGGTTGCTGGTTTCT